ATAACTGTCCTGGGATAATATTAATTCAAAATCAATACTAATTAGAAGCAGCATAGGTACAGTCATATCAAAGTACCTAGAGGCTCTGTCAAATAGTTATGCTTAAGACTAGGAATGACTCAAATATATCAAGAATCCATTTCCTTTGAATTAATAATACTGTAAATTATTGAAATAATTCAGGTTATTCACTTGTGACCTTAGACAAATTACTGCCTCACTTTCTCCTTTTGTCTAAAATATACCTTTCCTCCGACAGACCTAATGTTCTAGATATATTTGTATATCCAGACACAGACTTCTTTAGTCAAATCCGTAAGTTCCTCAATTGTCTAACATATTCCTGGGAGTAATTATTAAATTTCTCATGAAGCCATGCATCTTAATTTGCTATGAGAATAACAAAATGGCAGGGTTTTTGTTTTTGTTTTCATTTTTAAATGGTTAGAAAACATTAAAGGTCTCCATCAGGGCCATTTAGAGTGGGGTAACTGCACTGAAAAATCTTTGACTAAAGAGCAATGTTCATTGTTCTACTTATTTATGAAATACTTTGATCAGTATCTTAACATCTTATGTAGTACATGAGGCAAAGAAGGCTAGTCATCACCCATTATCCAATCTTCCCTTCTTGTGGCAACAGAATCCTGGTTTCTCAGGGCAGCAATATATCCAGCTAAAAAACCATGATGTGGTCATCTGATTAAAAGCTAGTCGTGAAATGTAACCAGAGATGAGATATCGTGAATTGCTACTTACAAGAAGGTACCTGACTAGGAGATTTGTCCATATGATCTGTCCCTTTCTCCTGCTGCCTAGAAATTGGACGTGACAGCTAGAACAATACTAGCCACCAAAAACCATGACGTGTCTTTGAAGTCACAATGTAGGTTAGTGGGGCAGAAAATCAAAAAGAGACTAGAAACCTGATGTCTATGGAACTGCTATGCCCTCCCTGGATTGCCTACCTCTGCACTTCTTTATATGAAAAAAATACATACACTTCTCTTGTTCTGCCATTAATTCTAGTTTCTGTTACTTGCATCCAAATGTAATTCCTAAAAGACAGAAAGCATATATCCAGAATATGAGAAACTGAACATACATACTATGTCCTGATGCCTGATGAGGGTGACTCTAGCACTTCTATCACATAATATGTAATAAACCTAACATGGCTTTGATCTATGTGGGCACCAAAGCTCATCTGGAATAAATCTTCCTTAAGCTATCACTGAACATTGAGTGCTTTTCTTACCATAAGACATTTAAGGTAAAGGTACACCATTGCTCTGAATTAAATGGTTCTAGAACTCTTGGTTGCCTAATTAGATTACCCCAATTTCCTGGAGATTAGAGCTGGTCTAAGAAAGGAGTCAAAAGACTATTCACATGACCAAGCAGTTTCTGTGGAGCTGAGACCCCCGAGCCCATTCTCTTTGAAATTCAAGATATTGGATTTGTTTTACATAAACTGGGATGATTCTGAGAGCAAAGGACACCAAGACACTAAAAAGAAAGGGGAAAATCATCAAAATCAGGTCCTAGCTGATGGAGTTAGTTGTTAAACAGAACTGGTTTCAATATATTGGATACTGAGGATGGAACAGAATGGGTACCACTTCAGGGCAAGCAAGGACCTACTCCAGCAGGAGCAGAAAAAACACCAATGAACAAACATCCACTGGAATGTATGTCAACAGTTATCAGTAGTGATGGATCCGGAGAGACAGCTACAGAGCAGTAGCTCTAAGAAAGTTGAGGAGTTTAGAAAAAAAAAAAAAAAAAAAAAAGGAAAAAGGGACGCCTAGGTGGTTCAGTCGGTTAAGCATCCGACTTCGGCTAAGGTGATGATCTTATTGGTTCGGGGGTTCAAGCCCATGCTGAATTCTCTGTGCTAACAGCTCAGAGCCTGGAGCCTGCTTCAGATTCTGTGTCTCCCTCTCTCTCTGCCCTCCTCAGCTCATGCTGTGTCTCTCTCAAAAATAAATAAATGTTAAAAAAAATTTTTTTTAAAGAAAGAAGAAAGTTGAGGAGAATTTCTTGGTCTGACATGACTACACTTATGCATGGAGATGTAACATACCCATCCTTCCTCTAAAGCGGTCTTCCTACATTTTCTATTTTGATAAACTGTTCCAGTATCCATCCATTTGGCCAGGTAAGCCAACATGAAAATAGCTATCACCATTCCTTCTCTCTGCCCCTCAAACCTGTTTGATTTACATTTTTTGTCTTAAAAAGTTGCCCCCATTTCCCAGCCCTGTGCCTCTGTCTTAAGTTCATTAGGTCTCAATCCTCATCAGATCTCAGTCAGCTATATTACACCTTCCCTGTGACTAGGCTGCTCAGCTCTAGTTCACCCATTCTCCATACTGAGAGAGGGACTCCTCACAAGTGAAAAATCCCACTTGAAAAATGAGGAAATTGAAGACCCAGAAGGTTAACAAATTTGTTACAGTTCATACAGTTCCTTGGAGGTGAAGACAGGCTCAGAGCTCAGGCTCTCTAACTTCAGAGCCCATCATTATCAAACTACTAAACCTCCCTCATTAAATTATCTAAGTACAGAACAGGATTCTCCTGGAAACTGATGCTTGAACCGGCCACATACTCTATGAATGCTTCTTAAGTATCATATTTTTTTCAATTCCATGAAGTCAACTTCAATCTACTATATGCTCTCCTTTGGGAAGAAGAAACTCTACCTCATTAAACATACGTATATGCTTTATAAAATAAACAGTAATATGTGAAAGAAAATTCACCTTAAAATGAAAGAAAATGCAGTTGTCAACAATAGCAACTAAAACTACAAGTATAACAATGTGTTCTTGTACAAAAGCTGGACTGTTTGGGAATATTCAAGTAATTAGGTCACAGAGGAAAAATCTGACACATAACTAAATACATACTTCACTAAAACAGCAGTCTAGACAGCTTTCAATCAAATAGTATGCTAGCTGACAAACGATTTTTTTAAAAACCCATACTAACTTAATGAAGACGAGCAAAATGAGCTTGGTTCCACTGTGATATGAAGGTTTGTTGCAAATTCAAGTTTTATTGGGTAGGTAGCAATGGTTTCAGCAAGAGTTTGGGAAAAGATAATTTATTCTCTGTTAATTTATATTCATACACATATGTAATATTAATGTATTACATCTACTGGAATCTTAAAATGCATATATATCATTGTAATGCATATATGTATTTTTAATGTAGTAGAATTTCTCCTTCTCCTTCTCCTTCTCCTTCTCCAAAAAGCTAATAATACACTGACGTTGGCTTCAGGGAACTGAGAAAATATGACATTTCAGAAGCCATTTGTGGAGTATGCAGCAGCATAATGGAGTATAATAGAAAGGGAAAAGCACGTGACCCACATTTTTTCTCTTCTTCCTACTTTTGTCTTCTATTACATTTTTTTCACAAAATAAAAAAATAGAGTTATTTTTAAAAAACTAAGTGCCCCATCAACACCTTTTCTGAGGAGCACATTGATTTCTCTGTACTATCCCAAAGTCAAAATTTTACTTTCTCAGGTTTTTATGATTAAATATTTCAGTAATGCCAAAAGGACAGAGAACATGTAATGAGCACCACATAGATATCATCAAGATTAAGGAAGCAAACATTATTGATACAACTCCCATGCATCCAATCCCAACAGAATTGCCCTGCTCCTACTTTTATAGATGATCACTACCCCAAATGTGCTATTTATCACTGTCAGGTATACTTTAATGTGTGTGTGTGTGTGTGTGTGTGTGTGTGTGTGTGTGTCCCCACAAGCCACATATACCATTTTATAGAATTTTTACACATTTTCTATAAATATTGTATATTCGTGTGTCCATCACTAACTTGTGTTCAATGTTTTAACGATTAACCCATGTTGATAAACCCAGCTCAAGTTCATTTAATACATTCATTTCACTGCATAACTATTCAGTTATTTATGTATATAGTTATTTATATATTCTACTGTGGATAAACATCCAGGTGATTTCTTTTTTTCTATTACAATGTGACAATAAAGATTCATCTTTCTTCTCATAGAATCCTGAACAGTCTCATTATTCCCCAAATCAATCTACAAAACAATCCACACTCAAAAAATAAAACTACTTATTATCCAGAGGCATATCCAACTTACAATTCAGGGGGAGAAATTATGGAAATATTGCACTTAATCACAATATTTCACGAAAACCTAACACTCTTCTTGATGACAAAGTAATTCAACGTTAACTAAAGAGATTTTACTGGTCAGGGAAAGACTACAGCCTCAGCCTCTGAGGATTCCAGTTTAGCAGACAAGATATCCAATTTCTACAGGATGGATTCTCAGGTATATAGTACTATCAAACTCAGTAGAGTATCATCAAATTAAACATTTCTCGGGGCGCCTGGGTGGCTCAGTCAGTTAAGCATCCGACTTCGGCTCAGGTCATGATCTTGCGGTCCATTGAGTTCAAGCCCCGCGTCGGGCTCTGTGCTGACAGCTCAGAGCCTGGAGCCTGTTTCCGATTCTGTGTCTCCCTCTCTCTCTGACCCTCCCCCGTTCATGCTCTGTCTCTCTCTGTCTCAAAAATAAATAAGCATTAACAAAAATTTTTTAAAAATTGAACATTTCTCATTAAAATAAATTACACCACAAAGCCATTATTTTCAACCAATTATATTTTTGCAAAAAAATACATAATTATGTCAGTGATATGTTCAGAATAAGAAGCTGTTTCTGAAATCATATTTTAAAGAAGGTAGTGAAATTAATCTGTGTTATGAAACATTCTATCTAATTTAGTGATAAGAGCACAGGCTTTCAAATCAGGTGGCCCTATTTTGTGGCAGAGCTCTACTTGTTACCATCTATGTGTATTTTGGTTATTTATGCAATCTGAGCCTCAGTTTCATCACCCATACAATGGAGATGCAAAACCTACCTCATAGATTTTAATGAAATTTAAATTCAATAATGTATACATTGTATTTACCCTTACTGAGGCTTTCTGCAGTTACTGTTGCTATTTAATAAGATCGGGGCTGGGTTCAGTTTAGATGCTGACACATGTGGGTACACATAGGTTAGGGCCACCGATTCTCTCCAGCTATACAGTACACCAGCAGACTTTCCTGGGGCCTGAGGAACCACCTCAGAAATAGTACAAACCCAATCCACAGAAAGATTCCTGTTATGTGTAAGTGTGCCTGAATGCCTGCAAATCTACAGTTGTATGATATCCGTGTATGAGAAAGAGAAGGGGGGATGGGAAGAAGGAAAGATGAGAATAATTGATTGGTTGATCTCAGGGCTGAAGCTAAAACAGAACTGCAGAATTTTTAAAAGCAAATTTTCATGACCTTTAAGAGAGAATGGATTGGTAGGGAAAGAATGAGGTGGCAAGTTAGACTTGGCAAGAAGACCAGAGATTCGGAGGAGAACTGGTTATAACTGGATGCATGTGAATGCAACCCCTAGTAATCCATGGGCATGCCACTAGCATAGAGGGAAAACCGGAAAACATGATTCCTTAAGACCTGTAATACCTTAGGGCCCAAGCAGACATGCTGTATGTCCTTAGAACACGAGCAATTAACAATTAACAGCAGGAAGGCAGTTATCCCTCTTCTCGATTTGCAGAAGAGTGTAGTACACTGTCAGGGACCCAGCAGTAATGAGGACTGGTGGGTCTAGAACAAGCAGACAATCAGTCTGGAGAGGAGGAAATGCCAGAGGTCAGGGACAGATCACCTTTATGAATGAACAAAAATATCTGGAGCATACTGATAAACAGCAATGATTGGGAGTAACACCTTCCAACTGAAGGGGCCTATATCAGCTGGGAGTGGGAAGGCGCTAAAGATAATGGTGGTCCCAGAGAATGGCAGCCTGGATTCAGAAAAGGCAGCCATGGAGAAAGCCGGAGTGTTGGCTCACAGAGGCAGCCTGTTCTGTGTGTAAACAAATGTGGGAACCCCTGTGGAATTCCAGTAATACTATGGGAAGAAAGAAACCTGAGAGGGGGATTCAAAGTCCTGTCACTGATATGTCTCCTCAGGCAAGGGAGACAAAAGCAAAAATAAACTATGGGGACTACACCAAAATAAAAACCTTTTTCACAGTGAAGGAAACCATCAACAAAACAAAAAGGCAACCTACTGAATGGGAGATGATATTTGCAAAAAATATATCTAAAAATGGGTTAACAGCCACAACATGTAAGAACTTGTACAACTCAACACATACATACATACATACATACATACCCCAAACAATCTGACTAAAAACTGGGCAGAGGACCTGAACAGACATTTTTCTAAAGAAGGTGTACATATAGCCAAAAGACACATGAAAAGATATTCAACATCACTAAGCATCAGGGAAATGCAAATCAAAACCAGGAGCTATCACCTCACATCTGTCAGAATGGCTAGAATCAAAAAGACAAGAAATAGCAAGTGTTGGCAAGGATGTGAAGAAAAAAGAACCTTCATGCACTGTCGGTGGGAATGCAAATTGGTACAGCCACTATGAAAACCGTATGGAGGTTCCTCAAAAAATTAAAAACCACACTACCTACCATACAATAAAATATACAGAAATGACACTACTGGGTGTTTACTCAAACAAAATGAAAATACTAATTCAAAAATATATATATGCACTCCTATGCTTATTGCAGCATTATTTATAATAACCAAGATATGAAAGCAACACGTGTCCAGAGATAGATGAACAAATAAAGATGTGATATATATATACATATATATATATATACACATATATGTACATACACACACACACACATACAATGGCACATTATTCAGCCATAAAAAAGAAAGAGAACTTGCCATTTGCAACAATACAAATGGACCTAGAAGGTATTATTTAAATGTAATAAGAGAAAGACAAATACCATATGACTTCACTTATATGTGGAATCTGAAAAACAGAACAAATAGCAGAAACAGAACCATAAACACAGAGAACTGACAGTTTCCAGAGGGGAGGGGAGCTGGGGATGGGCAAATTGGTGAAGGGGAGTGGGAAATACAGGCTTCCACTCATAGAATGAGTAAGTCACAGGGATAGAAGGTACAGCGTATGCAATGAAAAATAATAATATACATAATTGTTAATAATGATACTTTTAATATTTTTAATGATCATCCACTTATCCACTTATATATCACCCGAGCTCTCTGGGCTCCTTCCTGAACCCAACTCCTTCCCTCCAACTAGAAACACTCAACATCCTCAATTTTGTTTTAATCTTCCGCCTTGGTATTCATTCTCTCTCTCTCTCTCTCTCTCTCTCCCTCTCCCCCTCTCTCTCTCTCCCTCACACATGCTCACTCTCACTCTTGCTCTTTCAAAGTAAATAAACTTAAAAAAAATATTTCCCCTTGGTTTTCCTATAGCTTGATCACATAAATAAGGATTCCACAAAAATATATTAGTTTTGCCTCTGATCAAAGTTTACATAATTGAAATCATGCTCTTTGCAATTTGTGACTTGCTTTTTTTTTCGTTCAACATTATGATTTGGGGATTCAGGCAGGTAGGGTGAGATGCACTCATTTTCATTATTACGGTAATTCTACTATACACAAATAATGCCTAAATTATCCAGTCTGCTCTCTGTTGGGTTGTTTCCAGATTTGTTTCTATGTTTTTGCTATTATGCTATTTGTTTGTTTTCTCTACAAGGCTACAGTACGAAGTCTTGTACCTATTTCCCGAGGCATACAAGCAAGACTTTGTCTAGGGCATACTTGTAGGTGCTGAGCAAAAGAGTGTACTTGGTTCAATTCCAACTTCCCAATTTACTGTACCAACTCACATTCCCATTACAATGTATGAGCATTCCTGTTGCTTCATATCCACACTGTTTAGGATATTTCAGACTTCTATATTTTTAACAACACGGTGGCCATAAAATATTACTCTAGCTTTAACTTATATTTCCCTAATTATTAAGGAGGCTCAGCAAATTTTCATGTTTATTTGGATTTTAACTCCTGTTCATGTTTATACTGGCTGATTTTATTTCTCTTATTGATTCGCAGGATCTTTAATATATGCTATGCACTAAACCAATTTTCAGCCTTTCTTACTCTTTTACAGTGTCCTTTGATTAACACGTCTTCTTTTGAGTTTAATGCTGTTGAATTTATTAATCTTCTCTACGGTTTGCTCTGTTTATACCAAGTCAAAGAAATTCCCGTCTTACTGTAAGATAAAAAACATATCCGTTTCCAAATATTTTAAAGTATTGTTTCTCACAGTTGAGTCTTTCTTCCACACAGAATTTGTTTCTGTTTATGAAATGAGGGGAGTAGGGATCAATTTTAATTTTCCATATGGACAGCTTATCGCAGATTATGTTGGCAGCTAGGATTCATGGCTCACTGAGACTCAAAGGAAGAGAGGATCGATGGCTGGTGGTGTGTGTCATGTATGGAGGCATTAAGAAGCTGAAGCCTACAGTCTATCATTACAGATGATGAGAGATGGAAGAAACAGAGAGAGTCCAGGGAAAATAAAACCAATTTGATCAATTCACTCCACTCAAATTTTTATGACTTTCTCATAGTTTACATAACTCTCCATAGTCATGCTGTCATCACTTTACCCCATACGGTGTGAGACAACATTCAGTAGTTTATTTAAACTGGTCTGTGTTCCTTATAAACCCTTTATTGACATACCAACACAGCTTATGAAAACCTTTAGGAAAATATTACTATTACACTCTATACTGATTGAGAGCTTTTTTGTGTGATAATTCAGTGGTTCTCAACTAGATTCCCACATAACACCACAAGCTCACTACAGGTGCTCTGCCACTAAAATCATATTAAATTCTTTTCTCAATCTTGGCAACAACTTAATTAACTTGATAACATTTTCTCAGTATTAACACTCTCATAATTTTTTTTTCCTTAAATGACCTGCACCTGCTCCGCATTGATGTCTGGGATGGGTTATCACATAATGTTATGTTTATTTCTTCACATTTTCATATGCTATAAGCTAATCAAGTTTAATAACTACTCTGATAAGGTCAAAATACTCGCCTTTTCAGTCTGGGTCTTCAACTCACCCTCACATATTATTAATGTCTCCATTCATAAAATGCATATACTTGCTTCAAAGCATCTGAGGGAGCAAACGTCAAAAGAAACACTGGGTGTGGAAATGTTTTTAATATGTAAAATTTATTATAACCTTAAATTATATCTTACAAATATGGGGCTAAGAGAGTCGTGGAAAAAATCAACAGATAATTCCCAAAGGTCAGTTTGATCTACAGTTTTTATTTCTTCCATTTCTTCTTTAAAAAAAAAAAAACCAGAATCCTTAACTTGACTAAAAATAAAATGTATTTGTTTAAGTGCCATTTCCTGCCTCACATAGTTTCTAAGAAAGCTCCTGAGAAGCAAGCAGGCAAGACAAAGGTAAGAAGTTACTCTACAAGTAACTCATCTCCAAACAATATGAAAATACCTATTTTTGTAAGAGTGTGATCTAAAACTTCATGCCATCCCAATGTGATTTATAACTAATGAGAAAGTCTGTTAGAGTCAAACTGAAATCAAAGAGTGTATAGGTTACAGCTGAAGATGTAACCAGCCTCAAAAACATTTTGGAGCACAACATGGGTTTATTTGGAAGAACGTATTTTCCTAAGTATTTGTTTTGTTGTTTGGTTGTCTCTTTGCAGAAAGAAACTTTGGGGCGCCTGGGTGGCGCAGTCGGTTAAGGGTCCGACTTCAGCCAGGTTACGATCTCGCGGTCCGTGAGTTCGAGCCCCGCGTCGGGCTCTGGGCTGATGGCTCAGAGCCTGGAGCCTGTTTCCGATTCTGTGTCTCCCTCTCTCTCTGCCCCTCCCCCGTTCATGCTCTGTCTCTCTCTGTCCCAAAAATAAATAAAAAACATTGAAAAAAAAATTTAAAAAAAAAAAGAAAGAAACTTTGATAGAATTACAAAAGTAAGAGACATGTGAAGGAAATGAGAATAATATATTAAAATTAAGATTTAATCTTTTGGTTTGTAAATATCAACAGAGCCTTGCCTGGTCTGGACTGCTGTCACATTGGGGAACAGCTTGTACTGCTGTGCTACTTCTCCAACTTCTAGAAAACTGTAGGAGTAGAAAACCGAAGTTACCTATTTTGACAGAGAGAGAATGAGAGCATGTGCACAGAGGAGGGGCAGAGAGAGAGGAAGAGAGGGAATCCCAAGCTAACTCCATGCTCAGTGCAGAGCCTGATGGTGGGACTCGATCCCACAAACTGTGAGATCATGACCCGAGCTGAAATTAAGAATCAGATGCTTAATTGACGAAGTCACCTAGGTGCCCCAGAAATTACCTATTTTAAAAGAAAGTCATACACTATGTCATAAGATGTTCAGAGTCAGAAAGAGCTGGGTTCCAGTCACACATCTCCTACTTTCCAAGCTGTGTAATCTTAGGCATGCTTATTTAACTTCTCTGAATTTCCATTTCCTCATAGTTAAAACAAGGATAATAAAAACCATCTCACAGAGTTATGGTTAAATAAGGTTTAATAACAAGGTTAAATAAGACTGTTATCATATGTACAAATATCCAACGTACAATATTGACCAAGTTAC